AGTCTGACTCAAGTTTCTTATGGTACCTTTTGGAGAGCCTTACCAGGCTACAGCGTCGTGTGCCAGAATGACCGGTCTAATATTTCCTCATCTGGTACGATCCCGTTATCTATCCTATCCACCGTCTTCCTGACTTCCTGAACTTCCTACCACATTTTTCCAGTTTCCTAAAGTCGTGCCAGTATTTCTCGAAAAAAAACTGGCATTAAAGCCTAGTTTCACCACCTTTTCATAGTTACTTAGTACGATCCCGTGATGGGATTCTTCGAAGGTGCTGTACTCTGTAGTGAACTGCAACAGGTTAAGCAGCGGAAGGTCTCCCTGACTCAATAACAAATGGGAGGCCTGAATGCACAAGGGTTCAGGTTACTGTTCTCAGAGGATGCCAGGCGACTGCCTAAGTGCAACCCGCGAGCTAGGTCTATTACACTTCTCGTTATTCTTCTTACTTTTGTGTAACATTTTCAGGTGCTTATAGCGGATCGTGAATTCAAAACTTTGCAAGCACATCGGCTGATGCTCTTTATGGGCATTCTTGACTGTATACAGCTTATTGGTCATACATTCGGAGGTGTTGCCACTATATGGAAACCTATTAACTATGATGTGCCTTATCTTTGTCAGGTGAGAACTGTAAGCGCAAGCAGCGCGTTTAGGATTCGCTGTCAGCAGCATTTCTTGTTCCTTTTTGAAGATTCAGGGCTTTTTTTGCTCCCCAGCTTCAATAGTCCTCCTCTCATGCCTTTTGCCGATCTATTCCACAGCCTGACATGTAGCAATAGAAGGAATCGAACGATTACAGACACCTTGAATATGAGCTCTTCAGTTCTGAAGGAACTCTAAGTTGTGGGCGAAGGTCCATCCCAGGCTGGACCTTCGCCCACAACTGGAACCTACACCTCACGATTCCTGCGAGTGTGTTATCCTTTATGCCATGGAGAGGAATTGAGAAAGAAGTGCGGAAAACGACGGATAGTTTGTCAGTTCATTTCGGTGATTTTTCAGATAATGGGCGCCGCAACGAACTCAGCATGGGTCGGTCTATTTCCTCTGTCGGTATTAACAGCTATTCAAAGGCTTCTCATCGTAAGAAACACTGTGCAACCAAACGCGAAGTTTTCGCACGCGATGAAGGTAAGTAAGTTTAATTTGAATTATATTCGCAATAAGCAGCAGCTACTCATACTTTCAGCAATAGCGGAAATATTTATTAGATTAAAATGTTGGCCCCAGAAGCTGTATCCAGCCCTCAACTGCAAGCATTTTTGCCACACTTGTGTTTAGCAGTACTTGCCATGAGATCTTTCATGAACTTTCAAGTGAAGGTATTCAGTGATCACATGCATAACGTTCACTACAAGTATTGAGAGGAAGACGACAAGCGAACGCTTGAGATGTGCTGTGCTCTCACCCCAAACCTACTTTCCTTGCCATCTGCGAGGGGAATTCGCTCGCAGCTATGGAATTGTGCCTCAAACTGTCTGCTAATTTAGTGGGCCCACGCCCAGCGTATATAGCATTGAACGTTGTCTTTTAATCAAGCAAGTATCTCACACCAGTGTGGATATGTGGATCTCAGTCTTTGTACTATGGAAGTATAGCCGTTATCACTAAAGCCACGCGAGGCGTGGCAATGGCGCGTGGGTCTGGCACGGCATAAGCCTGCTTTCCTACGATTGTTGAGGCATGGTGTTTTCTATGAGTCGTGTGAAAGGTGATGGCGCCTTTCCAACAAACCTAAGCGCCATTAAACGCCTCGGCTTAGTGATAACAAATGTAATAACGATGTTTCGTTCGCTCTTTTACCGCTTCGATTGCACTCGAAAGAAGTGAACAGCTGCTCCTTAGCTCTGAGTTTAAGGTACAGCCCGGGATCAGGTCCAGAAGTTGGAAATATGGCGTCGGGAGGCTAATGTGGTCCACGACGAACAACCCTTGTACCGGTCAGGCTGGCAAAAAAATTGTAAGGGACAAGCGCTATAGCGCAATATAGGTTCAGTGACGCCTCCTTCGTTCCAGTGCATCCGCCT